CATGGTAATTAAAGGCACTGATTTGGCACTGCACTCTGGTTTGAATCCCAGGATTCCCTCAGGACTAGCTGGCTAACACTGGACAAGTTAATTATCCTCTGTGTACTTTATAAAATGAAGTTAATAATTATATCTCATTTATGGGGCTTTTGTAAAGATTGTTTGTTATTGTTGCTAAATGCCATTGAGTCAGTTCCCACTCACAGCCACCCTGTATAGGGTTACTAAGGAGCAGTTTGTGGGTTTGAACTGCTAACCTTGTGGTTTGCATGCCAGTGCTGATCCTACAATGCCACACCAGGAGTCCAGTAAAGATGAATTGCCCACACAAGGAAACCAAGACCCAGGAAGTCCATGAGTCTATCACAACAGTAGAATTCAGTCCCACATTTGTACCCAGGATATATCTTGGTTCTGGATTTGTACCCTCGGAACATTGAGTAATCTTCAAGTAAAATGTGTGTGTTACTAATGTATCTAGTACATTCCCTGATGTATGTTAGGCATTCAATAAATATTTGTTGAATGAATGAATGCCATATAAAAAAAAATCCAAGGATATCATGGTTTGAAAGAAGTCTATACTGAAATAATCAATTTGGAAAATTGTAGAACAGGATTATCACCAGACACAATTATTGTTGCACATCAAATCGTTTATTGAGCGTTTAGTCACATAATGAAAGACAATGTTAAGAGCCACGGGTATAATTTCACATTATGTTATCACAGATTGTCCACAAAGATACTTCAGCAAATGTTTAGCTGCCACCACTAATGACTGCGAGAGCAGGAAAACCTATGCTTTTGTAATTAACAAAAATCACAGCCAAATAATGAAAATAAGCTGCATCTACCTTTAGTATAGATTAACCTTTAGTATAGTAAATGATATGTCTTTGTTGATGAGAGACTGAACAGACAGAATCCCAAGTTTTTGGATAACTTTAAAGACAGAATGCTAAAGTTACATACAGGCTCCATTCCAGGTAAGCAAAATGATACATATCTTCTTCTCATTCAAGTGTTCAGATGTATTTCTTTTCAAATTTTGGTATCTACAATGAAAACAAAAATGCCATGAGTTTATGGCTACATTTAAAATAAAGACTAAGAATTTCATATGCTATTTATTTTAATACAAAGAAAAAATTCATATGATTTTTTTCTGGTAAAACAGAGGCAATGGTGAAACAAAAGCATTTTAACTGAAAACAAAGCTTGGTTTTATTGCAGTTCTAACTTCTGTAATGAAAAAATCCATATCAACTAGACTCTCTGCCTAATTTTCTATTTGAAATATCTCAAAACTATGATCTAACAGATATGATATGATAACTTTAAATGTTGTTTGTAGTTTAGTGCCATAGAGTTGGTTCCAACTCATAGAGACCCTGTATAGGGTTTCCAAGGAGCGGTTGGTAAGTTTGAACTACTGATCTTGTGGTTCAAACTAACCTTGCGGCCTAGTGCTTTATTCCACAGTCACACTAGGACTGCTTAAATAAGCATACACAAAACCAAGATATTAAGACTTTTCTTTGCTTTAATCAACCTTGCCAAAACAGCATATATGCATTATAAATAACCCTTGACTATCATATGTGTTACAGATTGAACTGGCTCCCAAAATGTGTGTTGGAATCCCAATCCCTATATATATTTATCTGTGGTCATAGTCCATTTGGGAATGAGATCATTTCAGTGTAGGGTATGTCCTAACCCTAATCACTTCTGAATTACAGGAGGAGCAGTACAGACACATAGACTGGAGGGGAGGGGGAAGATTCCACATGATGATTGACAAGGAACCAAGAAATGCTGGGAGACAAGATCCTCCCTCAGGGCCAACTGTGAGTGTCTTTCCTTAGAGCCTGGGTCCTAAATTTGGACCTCTAGCCTCCAAAACTGTGAGAAAATAAATTCTTGTTCTTTAAAACTAGCAGCACTAGGAAACTGAGACAATTTATATAATAAAATAAAGAAATATCATGTTTACATTTTTATTTTATTCCAAGTATAATGCCTCCACAAAAAGTGTAACTTCTATCAGAAACAGGCCTTTGTTTTAGATAATTCTTCAAAACTAGTCTCTATATGTATTGTGGACATATAAGAAGGTGCTTCTGATATGATATATCCTTATTATATATGTAAAAATGGTGGTGGTGGTGGTTGTGTGCCATGGAGTTGGTTCTGACTCATAGAGACCCTGCACAGGGTTTCCGAGGCTGTAAATCTTTACGGGAGCAGAAAGCCTTATCTTTCTCCAGCAGAACAGCTGGTAGTTTCGAACTGCTGACTTTGAGATTACCAGCCCAATTAGTAACCACTATGTTACCAGAGCTCTTCATGTACAAAGACGTGTTCAAAAATGAAAATGCAAATTAACAACAAAAGAAAGTAAAACTGTGTGTACTCAGTAAAATAAATTACATAATACACTTAGGTTCTCCCTTCCCATAGCGATGGTGGTGGTTATGTGCCGTTAAGTCAGTTTTTGTTCATAGCGACACTGTATAGAGTTTCCAAGGCTGTAAATCTTTACAGGAGCAGAAAGTCTCATCTTTCTCTTACTACATTCCCATACATAAGGGTTAAACAAAAAGTATTACTACGAAATCATAGAAACCTTAACTAAACAAATACATCCAAAATCTGAAGTTAGCATTTCTCAACATGTTCTCCATCTAGGTTTATATATTTCTGAAGGCAGTGTCTTCATCTCATTAACCCTTCCCTGAAGACTTCTGCACTCTTTGATTTACACCACAGCAAAACAACAGTTTTGGCATTTTCAAGGGATTTAAATACTGAACCAGAAAGAAGTCTGAAATAGACAAGATCAGGGCTGTAGGCTGGATGGGGTGACTGTTCCCAATGAAATGTTCATAGGACAGCCCTTGCTGCTAATGAGCAGATGCATTGTCCTAAAAGAAAAAAAATCCTTGGCATGAGTTTCCTGACCTTTTTCTCACCTATGCAGTTTTCAATTTTCTTAAAACTTCTTTCTAACAAACCCCTGTGATTATCATATACCCTTTTTAGAAAATCTATCAAGATTATCTCTTTGGAATCCTCACACACAAATACACAAAACAAAAAAACAGTCTCCATAAACTTTTGAGCTGACTTCCCTGCCTTGAATTTAACTGGCCTAGACGATCCCCTTGGAAGCTAATGAGTTGTCCTGGTGTGGCACTATAGGATAAGTGACTAGACTGCAAAGTTAGTTTGAACTATGAGGTTGGTGGTTCAAGGTCACCAGCCGCTCCTCCGAAGCCTTACACAGGGTCATTATGAATTGAAACTAACTTGACGACACTTAACAACAACAACTAATGAGAGCAAAACAAATGTGCTATTGAGAGAACTTGTCTGTAGCCATCCATTCATCGCAGAGACATGTTTAAGCACGTTTTGTTTGGAGTAAACCCATGAATGTATGAGTTGGAAACCTAGTAGCAAAAAAATATATCTTTTTACTTATTCTTATATAATGATACAGGGTTGCTGTGAGTCAGAACCGACTCGACGTCACTTAACAACAACACATTATGAAGATAAGTGGACGATGAAAAAACAAAGCAGAAATGAAGGGAGATGACCACAAAGACATAGCCACCACTAGCATCATTGCCCCAGAAATGGAACTAAAAGAAAGGAAAAGGCAGAACCTAAGAAGGTGGATAAACTTTTATCAAATGGTGTTCTTATGATAATCTAAGACTAAGACTTTTAAGGTTATTTTTGCTCTTATACATATAATTTAAATACTCTCCCTTTGCTAAACCCTGTTCATTAAAATCATCTCCTTATAAGTGTAACAGCATGCTGTCTTCCACTTTTATTTAAATGAAACAGGGTAAAGCCCTCACAATTATTAAACACAGCAAACTAAACATTTCATTTCTCTAAACCATTAATAATTTGGTTCTTCCTGAAAGCATATCATCAGTAACATTAAATTTCATTTTTATTGTTTTCATTTATTGAAAGTTTTCCATTTTAATATCTAAGGTTATTATGGTAGGAAGTTACCTCAACAAATCCTGTTTGAAAAGTCTGAGGGAAATTTAAAGAGATGTTGTTGTTAAGTGCTGTCGAGTTGGTTCTGACCCATAGCGACCCTGTATAGGGTTTCCAAGGAGCAGCTGGTGAGCTTGAACCACCAACTTGCGATTCAAACCAACTTTTCAGTCCAGCATGTTAACCCACAGTGCCACACCAGGACTCCAAAGAAAGAGATAGGTGACTGATAAAAAGGAGTTCTAGAGTGGCACTGTAGGATAAGCACTGTTCAAATCCACCAGCTGCATCCTAGAAACCCTATACAGGGTCGCTATGAGTCACAACTGACTTGATGATACTTAACAAAAACAAGAACTGATTTAAAAAAAATTTTTTTTTGTAGAGTTGCTTCCAACTCATGATGACCCCATGTGTGTCTGAGTGTTTCCAGTGGCAGATATTTCCAGAAGTACATCGCCGGACCTTTCTTTGAGACACTCCAAAATTTGCGTTAGCAAAATTAACTGTGTGCACCATCCCCGGACTCCAATATGATTGGTGATGGTGGTGGTGGTTGTATGTTATCAAGTTGTTCTGACTCACAACAACCCTGCATAGGATTTCTGAGGCTGCTAATCTTTACAGGAGGAGAGACACACATCTTTCTTCCCTGGAGTGGTAGGGGGATTCAAACTGCTGACCTTGCGGTTATCAGTCCAACCCACAACCCACGATACCACCAGGGCTTCTTAATATGATTGATTGTTTCATATTAAAGAATAAAAAGTAAAAATCAGTCCCCATTAAAAAAAAAAAATGTTGCAACTAATTATTCCTTCTACTTCTTCAGACTGAACAACTGAATAGGAAATTCAGTCCCTGCAGTATTACCTGGGGGGACTGGGTCAGGAGTGAATCTTCTGCATCTAGACTGGCAAGCAGGCAGAAGCTAGCCAAGGAAAGAAGGCTCACCTGTCTCTGCTGTGTGTTTACTCTTTCTCTGTTTGCAGCAGTTGGGTTGCCAGCTCTTTGATGTGCTTCCAGGCCTGCTGAATGTGGACAGATTCCACAGTGCGAGAGCAGATGGCAAAACGCAACACAAACTTGTCTTTGAGGTGGCATGGAACCAAGTGGATTTTTCTGGCATTGTTGATTTTTTCAAGAAGAGCTTCATTCAGTTTGTTGGACCCCTGATATGATTGAAAGAGAGGACGTGTGCTCAGTTCTCCAGGAATTCAAATATTCAGCTCACAGTGGTAAGGTCAGTGTTGGACAATAGGAAAATGTATCTGTGAAAGAAGTGAAACTTACCATTGGCCTGTCATTCACAATGATTAAACATTCAAGTAAGTAATAGTTGTTGTTGTTAAGTACCGTGGAGTTGGTTCTGACTCATAGTAACCCTGCACAAGGTTTCCGAGGCTACAAATCTTTACGGGAGCAGAAAAATCTCATCTTTCTCCCGCGGAACAGCTGGTAGTTTCTAACTGCGGACCTTGAGGTTAGCAGTCCGATTCATAACCACTACACTACCAGAGCTAGTAACCAACAAAACAAGATGAAGAGCCAAACTAGTCTCTGTAGAGTTCATTCTGATTCATGGTAACCACATGCACTTCAGACTGGAACTGTGTTCCACAGGATTTTCATGGCTGTGACAGTTTGGAGGTTCTCTGGGTTGCACAAACTGTTTGTGTTCCACTTCTAACCTAAAGATTCCATTTTGAGCCTACCCAGTGGTACCATGGAAGAAAAGTCCAGATGATCTGCTTCATAAAGATTATAGCCATGAAAACTTTGTGGAAAGGGGAGAATAATTAATCTTACAGTCCAGGAACAGAGGACCCTAGGACCAGCAAGAGTGGAACGTTGGATCCTAACCAGAGATGGAGGCAGAGGTGATGGCGTGGAGAGATTGGGCAGTTGAGGACTCTAGACTCATGGAAAGGGAAAGGCTGTGTGCTGATGGGCAGGAGGCTGGCTTGCAGAATGTGCTCTTTGGTTGTTTAAATGATTAGATATTCCTGCAAGCTTTTGAGTGCTTTAAAAAAAAAAAAAAAAAAGAGGGAATAGAGGCAAATATTATTAGCCCATGTGGCATGCAGAGGATTGTAATCATTGCAATGAAACAAAATATGATAGATTGAGTGCAAAACCAATGTTCTCCCATGTAAACTATCACTCAGTTCACAATAAAAGCTTTAAAAAACAAACAAACAAACAATAAATCCCTATGGAGCAGTCTGCTCTGAAGCACATGGGGTTGATGTGAGTCAGAACCCGGGAAACTGGTGGACTTTTGGATGTAAATTACAAGGTCTTCTTCCAAGGTATTTCTGGGTGGTTTGGATCCTCCAAACATTCAGGAGCACTTGACAGTCCCCACCACTCAAGAACTCCTAACATGACTGCAAAAGACTAGAAATAAGCAAAAAATGCTACTTCTTGTACTACTGACTTCAGCCTCTCCCCATAAGAAACTTCTTCATGTCTTAATGGGCTGACAAAAGATGACCATTCTATGGTGCATTTTTTTTTTAATGAAGATTCCTGGAGATGTTACCTATAAATTGATGAGCTTAAACAGCAGAACTGGAGTTCCTAATGGCACCAGGAAAGAAGATCTAAATTCTTACTGCAACATACAGCAGAAAGTTCCAACAGCATAAAAAAAAAAAAACGATGCCTAACAGTCAAATATTGCTAGAATCTAGGAAGAATTTCCACTAACTATAAGGCAAGCCTACTAGACTGAACCAGATATGAAATGCATTGAACAGAAAATGAAAAGTCATCTCATCCTGCGTGAGTCCTGCTTTCCACAGTGACCAGCTTGTTGCCCTTTTCTGAGCCTTTGCTCCACTTCTCTGAATCCTCTTCCCCTTCCCTTGCAGTGACCCTTCTATGAGCCAGATGATGAAAGTGGCAGCTAACAGTGGGCATTGTGACTCTCATTGCATGGTGATTGTACTCTTGCTTTGTTTGAGGGTCAAGAAGCAGTAAGGACACGTGGGAAGAGAAGAGACCAGTGTCATCCAGATGAATACCTGATGGACAGCAGACAGCGGTCTTGGACCCATGCAAACCCACCACCCACATAGTGAACTTAGTTGGAATACCACTGGGTGGGACAAAAGGCAATTCAGAAACTGTTGGCATACACCACATCTGGAGAATGTTTTTCCTATTTAAGGGTGATGATAGAGAAAAAGATAATATATTATGAAAACAAAAAAAAAATTATTGGAGAAGATGTAACTTCTACTAAACAGAAGCAGGAAGCCACATAGGGGAAAGAGTCTCAGATTGAACAACAATGACAAAAATAGACTGAGGAAACGCAGACTGAGACTTATGTACCAAGGACAGGCTGAGACAAGGACAGAGCGAAGAGAATGGACATAATTATGTAACAGTAACATTAAATCTGTCTTGTTGTTAAGTCCTGTAGAGTCGGTTCTGACCCATAACGACACTATATAGGGTTTCCAAGGAATGGCTGGTGAATTTGAATCTCCAACCTTGCAGTTCAAACCGACACTGTAGTGAAGTGCTTATCCTACAGCGCCACACTAGGAATTTATGTTAACAAAAGTACATGTTGAAGCAGGTAGTGATCACAGAAAAGCGTGTGAATAGAAGAAAATAAAATAAACAGAAAGATGATAGATATGCAGGCAGAAAACTGAACCAAGATGTGAATGTGGTGGAGCATATGGCAGGTGAAATGACGAAAACTTCTCACAGATTATCAAACATCTGAAGGCAATGAGTAGCTGAGCCTGGGGCCTGAGGACCAATTGGTGTAGCATAGTCTACCACAAAGACAGTGTTCTACATCCTACTTTGGTGAGTAGCGTTTGGGATCTTAAAAGCTCATGAGTGGCTGTCTAAGGTGCAGCTTTTGGTCTCTCCATGTGCAGAAGACAGAAGAGTGATGAGAATTGAAGATGCTTGGAATCAACTAGTCCAATGGACTAATTGAACATCAGTCTCCAAGACTTTGACACCAGAGCTAGATGGTGCCCAGCTATCACTACCAACTGCTCTGAAAGGGATCACATTAGACGGTCCTGGATAGACCGTCCACATAATCTACGGAGCAAAACTGAAAATTATCTAAAAAAAAAAAAAAAAGACCAGGCTTACTGGTCAGAAAGAAACTGGAGAAACCTGAGAATGTGGCCCTTGACCACCCTTCAGATATGGCAAGGAACACACCCCTCTTTTAGTCAAGTAGTAGATAGGTATATAGGGGGAGCAACTTTCAACCAAACAGTAGACAGGTTTATAGGGGGGACAACAACAGTAGTAAGATAGGCTCACTATGAATTATGAAATGGTCAATCATTCAAAATCAAAGGGGTAACACGTGCCTAAGGGCAATGGATGGGGAGGTGGATGGAATGGAAATAGGATCCACACAGAAGAAGTGGATGACCGTTATTCCACTGAGAGGATTGTAGTCATTGAGGTGAAACAAAGTGTATGATTTGTTGAATGAAAAACTGTTGATCTTGTTTGTAAACCTTCACTCAAGTCACAATAAAAAGTTTAAAAAAAAATTTTTTTTAAAGGTCACAACTAGACCAATAAGCAACATCATGATAACTGGAGAAAACATTGAAGTTGCCAAGGAATTCGTTTTACCTGAATCCACAAGGAATGTCCATCAAAACAGCAGTCAAGAAATCAAATGGTTTATTGCATTGGGAAGATCTGCTGATCTCCCTCTCTTGCTGCCCACCCCCCCAACTCTTTAAAATGTTAAACTAAGCAAATGTGTCATTCTGAAGACTAATGTGCCTCTGACCCAAGGCAGAGTACTTTCAATCAGTTCACAGCATGCCAGAACTGAACAACAAATAAAGAAGACCAAAGGAGAATTGACAAAGATATTAAATATATGGAATTCTAGAAGAATGAATAAATTTGTCTTAGAAGAAGTATAGCCAAAATGCTCCTTAGAAGTAAGGATGCAAAGCACTCAGATAGTTCTGACCTGTTAGCAGATCAGTCCCTGAAGAAGGACATCACGTTTGATAAAGTAGATGGTCAGTGAAAAAGAGGAAGACCCTCAATGAGATGGATTGACAACAGCTGCAGCAGCCGTGGGCTCAAAGGACTGGACAGCGTTTCATTCTGCTGTACATAAAGCTACATTGAGTCAGAACTGACTTGAGAACACCTAAAAACAGCAAGATTGTTATTAATTTGTTGTTAAGTTGGTTTCAACCCACAGAGACCCTGTATAGGTTTCCAAGGAGCAGCTGGTGAGCTTGAAATACCGACCTTGTGGTTCAAAACGACTTTGTCATGGAGCGCATTAGCCCATAGCACCAACCAGGATTCCTTGTTTTTTAAAAAAAAACTGCTAAAATTTTTTAATGTCCTAGAGACAGTAAACAAAAACAGCTGGCAGTAAAACAAAAGCAACTGCTTGAAGGCAAATTATTCTAAGTGCAATGCCCACACCAACACTTTTTTTTTTAACAGCACATCCCATATAACCATATACCTTAAGACCCTAAAGCTTTGGGGTCCCCACCCGCCTCCCGTGGGCATCTGGAGCACAGCTGCCCCCTCTGCTTCTCTCTGCACTCTCTCTCATCGCTTCCCTTTGCACCTCCACTTTAAATCCTCCAGAGTATTTTCATCTCCCTCGGCAGCCCTGGTTTTGTTCCCTCCCTTCTGTCAGAACTCAGCTGTGTCTCAGCTGTTTCTGTACTTTTTCATGCAGTTATCTTATTATTGTCTCACAGTTCCGGGAACCAGATGGGGGGGTGGGGGTGGCATCTTGACTCTAAGCAAATTCACCATCCCTTCCCCAACTGACTTCTTTGCTTTGAAAATGGCGTTATTGTGGAAAGGGAGGTTCAAAACAAAACAAAAGAATCTTTTTATTGTAAATTGGTTGAGGGTTTACAAAAGCAGATCAGTTTTCCATTCAACAATTCATATCCATTTTGTTTTATTTCATCGATGGCAGTCCCCACAAAGTAACATCACTTATTCCACTTGGGAAATGGGACATTTTGTTCATTAAAAGCTATTGAAGTCAGAAGAGTAGGCTTTCAGTCAGCTTGATGCACAAGGTAAGTAGATTAAGAAGGGCATGTATGCATAACATATGTCAGAGCTTTCAGGAATCCTGGGCATTCTTCTCTGTACAGACTGCTAATGGGCCAATCCATCTAGGTCACCTAATGCATACTATCAGGCAATAAATAAAAATATACATTATAGACCAGCTCTTATCACACCCCTGTGAGTACACAAATAACCTGGGGGTTTTAGTAAAATGCAGATTCTGTGGGCTTGAGATTTGGATTTCTAATCAGTGTCCAATAATGCTGATCCTGCTAGTCCACAAGGACACTCAGATTCGTCAGACTGTACACACCACAGGCATCTGGAGAATTGCAGTGGCAGAATTGTATGGGATGGAATTGGGGGTGGAAAACAAAAATGGTGAGAATTCTAGGGCAGAAGAACTACATGAACCAGATGTCTAAGGGTTCTGTACAGATGATGTGTGTGGATTATAGAATGGGGGGACCCTGATATCTCGGGAAGGCTGAGAAATGACGCTTTATGCAGTGGCCTCAGGAGCTAGTGTATGTTTTTGAGCATGAAGATAATGAATGTTATTATCTCCTGTTGTCACAGTCAGAGAACATGAAGTAGAAGAAAACTGGCATAAATGTACCTTTAGTCGAAAGCAGACCAGTCCAAGAGTGACTTCGGCACAGATCTCAAAGCAGGGATCCCGGCGGACCAGAGACTCAAACTCGTGAGAGAGCTGGACATGCTTGAAAGAGAAAGAGGGAGATGTATTTGAGTTTCTCATTGCTTAGTGCTCAGAGCATAACCACATAGGACCAATTATACATTTCTAACTCATTTATGTGCTTTCAGCAACTTCCTTCAAATTTCGTCATCCACGCACCAGCTGTCCCCCTCAGAGGTTGAAAAAGAAACTGTTACCAATGAGAAATGGTCAAGTGTTTTCAGAAAAACTGCAACCATAATTTTCTTCACTGAATGGAAATATTTTTATCTTATCAAAACAATCTTTTGTGATTTTAGAATCAACAGTCTAGAATTAAATATGGTAGAAAGGCGACTGCTACTAACCTCTATTTGATACTTTGTGGTGGTGATGATCTTGGTCCTTCATTGTGATGTAATCCTCACAATAATCCCACAAAACAAATGACACCTCTATTATACCCACTTAATATGAACTGCAAGGAGCTCTGGTAGCGTAGTGGTGATGAATCGGGCTGCTTATCTCACGTCAGCAGTTCGAAACTACCAGCTGTTCTATGGGAAAAAGATGAGGTTTTCTGCTCCCATAAACATTTACAGCCTCAGAAAGCCTGTACAGGCTCACTATGATTCGGAACCAACTCCATGGCACGTAACAACAACAACAATATGAACTGCAATGTTGGTGGCTCAAGCTCACCAGATACTTCTCTGAAACCCTACACAGGGTCACTATAGGTCAAAACTGACTCTACAGTATTAACAACAACAACAACAATAGATAAAGAAGCTGAGGCCTATAATGATGATGGCTAGGACTTGGCTGACCTGGGATTCTAATAAAACTACCTGACACCAATGCTGCATACAGACTGCTCAGTATATGAAGTGTTTGACTATGAAGAATAGGATTCAGATCACTTACCCACTGTGTTCTTCTCACTGAATGCAGTACTCTCATTTAACTTCTATATTTTATATAGGAGTCCTGGTGTGGCACTGAGGGTTAATGCGCTGTGGGTTAATGGTCAGTTTGAACTGTAAGGCCAGCAGTTCAAACTCACCAGCAACTCCTCAGAAATCCTGTACATTTTGGCAGCAACAGTGGGCTATCGAATCATAAGAATCTTATTCCCATCTCTTTTCACCAGACTCATCTAGACAAGATGAAAACTATTCAGTGGGGACTCTATCTTCCCCCACATACTCTTAAACTAAACCCCCTCTTGCAGACTTCTTCGGGCCTTTATCACCCTGTCATTTTAGGTAACCAATGTTTAGGTTGCCCTTCCCTAACTAACCTGTATACAAAGGTGATAGGTTTGACACTTGATGTGAAGACTCTTTCCCTTTCAGTTGGTATTTTGAGTTACCACATCCATAAATATAGGTCAAGTTCATCAAATTTTAGCAAATTATACTCATTTCCTTTATCAAAATTTTTTTTTTTTTTTTTTAACTCTTCCTCTAGTCGAGTTCTGATCATCAAGCCATCAAAGCTAGGTCAATGGGTACTATCTGCAAGTCTGGGTGTTCTTGTGTATCTCCCCTCACTTCATACAATCAATTCTTTTTGGTTTGATCTTATTTATTCCGTCCATCTCTTTTTTTTTTTTTTAAGGTTGTAAATGGTTTTGTTTTTTTTTTAATGTTTTATTGTGAATTATGTGATAGTTTACATGGGAGAACATTAGCTTTACTTTCATCCTGTTGTTTATTGGTTACATTGCCATGGTTACAATCCCCTCCATGCATCATCAATCAACCAAAAGGTATACCCTTGCAAGCCTGCCACCCAGTCATCAGCACACAGCCCCTCTCCCTCTCTGGGTCTAGAGTCCCCAGCCACCTCATCTCTCCACATCATCATCTCTGCCTACATTCCCAGAGCCACTGCTTCTCTGGATAGGGTCCCGCACTCCGCTCTTCTCCCATGATGGTCCCAGGGACCTCCGCTCCAGGACTGCTAAGTCAATCACTCCCCTCCTTTTGCTACAAAACATCTACCTTTACATTTCCAACCCTCACAGTCAGTTCTGATAGCAATTATTCACTATTGTACCACATGAATGCTATCCCCATCTCCTTTCATCAGTCCCGCCCAGACAGATTGGATACTACTCATTGGAGATTATACCTTCCTCCGTGGCCTCTGGATCTAGACTCCCTCTTGAAAGCTTGTAAGCCAGTCACTTCTTGCCTTTGTAGCCATCCCATTTTGGGTAGCCAGTGTCCAAGTTGCCCATCCCTGTCTACCTTGTGTATGAAGGGGGTGGGAATGATCCTCTCTGTAAAGGTTTGTTCCCTCTTTTGAACTACTGCATCCATAGGTGTAGGTCAAGTTCATCAAATTTTATCAGATTACTCTTTTTTTCCTCTTCTTTCTTCTTCTAGTTGAGCTCTGTTCATCCAGCCATTGAAGCCAGATGGGTATTATTTGCAAGTGTGGGTGTTCTTGTGCATATGCCCTCTCTTCTTATCAGCTGGACGCTTCACTCTCCACTCTAGTCCTCTGTGGCTATGTCACTGACTCTGGGCCCACGAGTCCCCAGGTCTTGCCATACTGTTGGCCAACCAGGTTTCCACAAGTGTTCACAGGAGTCTATTGAATATTGTAGGGCTTAACTTGCAGCGTCATTGCTGTTTTTCCCTCACTTTCTTTATCGGTGACAAATGTGGTCACCAATCCAAGTGCATGTCTGCTCATATATTCCCATTGAGTCTTAGTCCTAGCAAGGGGTTTGCTCTGAGGTGACCCAACTGCTTGCCTTGATGTCTCCTGGGTGAACAACTTGCTTGTTTTTTGTAGTAATCAGTTTGACTGCCTTTGTTGTTTTGTATATTTCCTGTTGATCTTTCTTTCAAGAAGCATCTTCCATTCTTCTAACCGCTCCAGACTGGTCTGCTGTCCTTTCAAGTGGAAATTTCCCATCACAAAAGATTCTTGATGTGGTTCAGGATTCTACCTATGATCTTATGTAATGCAGAGGCTTCACAGGAAGCCTCCTTCACTGGGCAAGTTCTAGACCCATTTTAGGTATTCCAATCAGTTAAAGGCAGAAGATGGACTTACAAGCTTTCTATGATGATATTTCTGGCTATTCCTTTCTCTCCCCCCAAGTGTCTATTTTATAATGGTATGCCAGGGAAACCAAGATTCAAAAGACAGCCAAGCATCTTTATATTATTTCCACCCATTTGCCCATTCCAACCACGTCTCAATTCCTGTGTCCCAGAGCCCTGTTTTTCCAAAGTTGTGCATACATTATTATTTACTTCTGTCCCACTTAGCCCATGCAAACCTGCCTAATTATTTTCCCCTTCTGCTTTGTTCTTCCATTCCCCTCCTCCTTCTTGTGTATTGCCCCCTTCCCTAGCACCTAAGCTATCCTGTGTCTATTCCCTACCCTGTGCTCCACCTTCCCCTCCCTCCCTTCCCTCACCCCAACCCCCAAATCTCAGTAACCAGCAAAGAACCGCACCTCTCCCCTCCCCCTGCATTAGTATGGGTTCTGTTTCTTAGTCTTTTGCAATAGTGGTCCTATGCAGAATTTCTCCTTTTGTGACTGACTAATTTCACTCAACATAATGTCCTCAAGGTACATCCATGTGTTATGTGGCAGCTTACATCTTCCTTATTGTTCTTCAAGGTAGCATACAGCCTTGTCAACCTTATACAGGGGCTCTGTGAGTCAGAAACAACTCAATGGCACACCATCACCATCACAACCATCAGAGAATTGTGGTAACTCTGTATGATAAGAACTGGACTGTGAACAAGGTTGGCAATTTGAACCCTCCAGCCCCTCTGTGGGAGAAACATGAGGCTTTCTGTTCCTGTAAAGATGTACAATGTCAGAAATCCTATACAGGGTCACTGTGAATTGGAATCCACTCTATGGCAAATAACAATAAATCCCTTGATAAATGAGTGGTTTATAGTTGAATCACTAGAGGGCGCCAAAGACTTTGGAGCTTCTAAGTGAGCAACCAAAGTTGGTTTCTGGAAAATTGGAGTCAGAAACTACAGGATGGCAAAAGGCTTGGATTTTTGTTGTTGTCGATGCTATTTTGTTTTGTTTTACTCCCATATTGTTGTTTGCTGCTAAGTACCATCAAGTCAGTTCCAACTTATAGTAACCTGTATAGGGTTTCCAAGGAGCAGCTGGTGGCTTTGAACTGCCTATCTTGTAGTTAGCAGTACAGTGCTGGTCCTACTGGACCAAACCAGGACTCCTTCTCTCTCATAGTGAGGCAGAATTGGAATACACTCTAGACATGGTGTTGTTTATGGCTTTAGTGGCTGGTGCATACATTTGAATACTAGTAGCCTTAATTGGTCTTTCTTGTTTGTTGTTGTTAAGTGGTATGGAGTCAATTCTGACCCATGACTACCATGTATAGGGTTTCTGAGGAGTAATTGATGGGTTTGAACTGCTGTGGTTAGCAGTCCAGTGCTTATCCTACAGTGCTACACCAAGACTCTGGCCTTTCTTGTAGGTATATGGATATAATTCTAGCACAGATAATGGACTTCAAGACAGATTTTGAAATGTTCTTTTTGATCAATTTGATTTTGAAAATGTTTTCTCTTGAATTTGTCATTCCCAACATAGTAAACCATATGATTGTCAGATTCAAAATGGCCAATACCAGTCCATTTCAGCTCACTAATGCCTAGGTTATTAATCTTTATATGT